CCGCACCACCCTGGCATACGTTTCTCCCCCACACCCCTTTTTTGTGTAAGTTTCTTCCTGGGCATTTCCACATCCTTCTGATAAGAGAAGGATGGTTGGGGTTTTGCTTTTCATCAGAAGTATTGGGAAAGGGGATTTCCTTGCGCAGGAGGATGGGATGGAAAGGGAAGCTGCTGGTGGGGGGAGCATGATGAGTGTACTGATGGGGGAGAAGTGGGAACGGGGCCAATAGTTTAAGTTCACTCTGATTCCAAAACAAGTCTCTACAGCGTCCATTCTGATTCCAGAACAAGTGATTATATGTTCATTGCAGAAATCAAGTTTGTGGAGGCAGCTCATATATGCCAGGTCGATGAACGAAGCATCCAGCATGTGACACTATATGCTTCACGACCTAGACGCAAAGAGGAAATCCATTGGTGAAGCTCACAGAAGACCTCTTTATTTTGTTTTCTGCTGTATTCTGACCGTCATTGAGTTTCTTGAAGCCTCTTCACTCTTTCTGCAAGGAGACTGTGTGTTTGTAATAACCATACGAAATCCTCCTTCCTGTGCCACACATTGCTGAATGCGCAGAGCGGCTTAGCGCAGTTGCTAGGGCCCCAGAGTTAGATGCTGGACGCCGTACATTCTAGTCCCTGGACGGGTGCACTACACACACTTGGGCCTATGGCATCCACTTGTGGATTGAGGTTGCATTGGGAAGGCTGCTAGTCCAAGGCTTATATCATGTCTCTGCGGCGAGGGGACAATACTGTCACCTACTGTTTCCGGTATAGATCAGGCCAGGTTTTAGCTGCGACTGCGGATGTGCATACGCTTAGCTGTTGTCAGTTAGACCTTGCCACATGGCTATTAGGCACTGCTGCCAGCTGCTAGGCTCAGCTAAGGCTTCAATATATTCTGGGGATAGCATTTGTTAGCAAGCGTGGACGATGCCCCTGATAGCGTCTGTCCGTGGGTAGGGGCTGATACCTTTGAGCATTATGTGTGAAAAAAATGAGCAAAACTTGCGCAATCAGGGGGATGTTGTCCAAAAATGATGACCCCCTTTTAATTTGAAAAGAAAAGATTGATGCTGAAAGTGTTGTTTTCTGGACTGTTCTCACTCCTCTGAATCTGAATTTTGAATGCAGTTCAGTCTAAGCCCAGGGCATTCGTGCTTTTTTTTTTGGAAGGTTCTTGGAATGCCCATTGACTGGGAGTCCCTTTTGTGTGGTGTAGTTTTCTGCAGGTGGTGGTAAGATTTGTTGAAGATGACAATGAAGAGCACACGGATCGTGCTGTCACCATGGGATCTTTGTACATTTTGTGGTGACGATTTAGCGGTGGAGCGGAGGAGAAGAACGGGACAGGATGTGCTCAGTGAAGCTCATGATACTCAAGTTTCAGATGTCAACAAGACTTCTGCATTTTATACGTCGGCAAACAACACACTCATTATCAAGTCAGGACACCTCTTTGGCGTATGGGCCCTCTATACTGCTCCTTTAAGTGCACAAATGCATGGTAGATGAAAGGATAGCTAAGAGGCGGTTGATTGATTGGCGCTGTGTTTCTTGTTCACTAGTCAAGGTCAGTGGACTTGCCCTATGTTGTTTTAAGATTCTTCTTGCATGTGCAACTCTTTCCCTCCTCCCTGTTCCTGCTTTATTCTGGAGTCTGGATGGATTGGTGCTGTGATTCTTATTAACTGGTCAAGGTCATTGGAGCTGACCTGTAAAGTGAAGGCTCTTCTCCTGCTTCTCCTCCTCCTCCTCCTCCTCCTCCTCCTCCTCCTTCTCCCCCTCCTCCTCCTCCTCCTCCTCCTCCTCCTCCTCCTCTTCCTTCTCCTCATCCTCCCCGCTCCCGTGGATCAGTGCAGTGCTTCTTGTTAGCTGGCTGAGTGGTCTTGCATAAGTGTTGGACTTAATCAGTGAAGTGAAGATTCTAGTTGCATGATATTCTTCCTCCTCCTCCCCACCCTCATCCTCCTCTTTGTCTTCCTTCTCCTACTCCATCTTCTTCCTCCTACTCATTCCTCACAAGCGGTTAACGGGGACCCCCCACCATCGCTGAACATTGGTACCTCTGAACGCTGAGAATGAAACATTGTTACAATTGAGCCTTACCATTGCCTGCTTTTGTTCTCCGTTAATGTGTGCTCGCTTCCATTTGTTCCGCCGCTCTTGGGAAACTTGTTAACTCGGGCCTGTTGAGCTCTTGGGAAACTTGTGACATCGGGAAAGTTCGTAAACTCACCTAACACCAGTACATACTAGATACTAAGTACGACTCCAAATGTGCTGCTGGATTAATCTAGGTTACTAATGATGTACTACCGTCCTCACCTGAATAGAACATCCATGCTCGCTTCCATTCGTTCCGCTGCTCTTGGGTATGCGCACACACACAACAGCTAAGTTAGTTCCGTGCTCGCTTCCATTCGTTCCGCTGCTGTTGGGTATGCACACACACACACACACAAATGGAAGCGAGCACGTATCTATACTGCGGATGTGTATACCTTTAGCTGCGACTTGTGAACTCGGGAAACTTGTGAGCACGGATCCATCCACCGGGCATGGATCTCTGTTTGCACCATGTGCTTTATGGTTATGAGAGGGTTTTCCGGGGTGGTGCTGGACTCTTCACAAGTTAATGCGCATCTTCTTTTCCGGATGCCCCAGAGGGTTCCGTTTTCTATTAGTGAAAAGAAGAAGAGTTTGAAGCCTTTGAGAGGTTGGGATTGCTCTGCATGTAGGAATAAAGTGCCTGGGTTAATTATGGTGCTTCTGCTGGAGTGTTTGTGCCAGGTTAGTTCTATGTCATGCCATAATTGCTTTGTCTTTTGGCAGTCTATGAAGCAATGGTTGAGTGATTCTTCGAGTTGAGAGTTACATTCCTTGCACCAGGAAGTCAGCCAGAGATTGACGGCACAGCTCTGAAAGTTGTGAGTCATTGAAGACTGGCTAATTTGGTTGGTCTTGTACGGTCTTTGTGAGCGAGCTTTCCTTTTTTTCCCATCTCATTTGTATGATCGTTTGAACTGCGGGCGGTTTGTTGTGGAGCTTGTAACCCAATGTGGGGGAGTAATCAGTGAGTGTGTGTCGATGCTCCATTGTGCTCCATGACCATTCTGATGGGTCTACTTCGAGGTGACGTATTTCTGTTTCGGGTCTGTCACCTTCAATGACCTGGATTCTTCTAAGAATGCTTGATTTGAAAAACCCCTTCTGCTCTTGGTTCTTTGCTGAGGAAACTGGCTGGGTCCCCTGGTTCTTCCAGGGGAAAGATGGAACAGAGTAACCAACATTTGTTATGTAGTCCGCAGCTTGTGCTGTTTAGGACATCCATGGGCCGTGTTTGATCTCTATTTACTGCCCAACTTCCCCACATCCACTTTTGGCTGGACTTCAATAACCGGCGACATTCTAGGGTCTGCTTTCGGTGATGGGTGTGATGTTGGCCTGTAGGTTATGGCTGCCCTTTAGTGGGTTCCATAGTTCTTTTTCAGACTTCCAGTTGTGTTTGCTGATTCATTCCAAAGGTGCTGGATTCGCCAGACCCCTTTTTCTAGCCAGTAGCCCCATTTGGTATCGTACTTGGTGAGGGAGAAACTGTGACCATTTTTCGTTCTTGCTCCATGGGTTGCTGAAGAGAGGTTGTCTGAGTACTTTGTCGCTTCTTTTAGGGCCGATTTTGTTTCGTGGGAACGTCTGCCGTATGTGGATGAGGTGTTGCTCTTCTCTCTTGGCAGGGGCCATCTTTTGTTGTAAATCCCAGAAGAGACCTGACATGCTTGGGGGTGACTTGAAGGTCGTCGAGTCCCTGATGTGATTTCGGGCCAGTGGTACCCATTGCAGGTTGTCCTCTAGGGTGAGTTTGATTACCCATTTAGTCTGCAGGGCGTCTATTTGGCATGCTGGGTCTAGGATTCCGAGTCCACCTCTTCCTTTGGACTGTGTGACGATCTGCCACACAACTTAATGAATGAAATGCTTTTTGTCTGGGCTGCCTGTCCAAACGAAGGCTGCTGCCCTATGGCGAATGTGCTTTTGGAATTCTGAGGAGGGAAACCAGATTGAAGTGGCGTGGCACATTATTGATAGGATTGAGTTGTTCAGTGCTAGGGTTCTTGAGCTGTGGACCCACTGCCAGATGTGCATTTTGTTGATCAGTGAGGACACGAGGGAGTCGGCGGATATGGGGTGACATCCTTTTGTACTGAGGTTAATACCAAGGAAGCGGATCGGTGAGGTTGGGTCTTCCCATTGTAGCCCTTCTRGGATAGCTCTAAGGGGGGGGAAGAGTCAGCTAGCCACCCTTCCATAGTCTTTGACAAATTGACTCTCATTTCTGACACTGGTTGGAACACTTGCATTGCTCTTGTGAGGGCTTGGAACAAGGAGTTTGAGGCCCTTAAAGGCAGTCTTCAGATGCAGTGTATGGCCTCTATCATCCCTGATTTTTTTTATTTTTTATTTTTTTTATTTTTTTTTTAAAGGTCCTTATGGTCCCGGCTCCATATCCATTCTGGGGAGCGTCAGTCCGGTTCCTATTCCCCCGGCAAGTCAAAAGATTACAACGTTTTACCCACACCACGCTTCCTTCCGTCTGGCCGAAGGAACCTTGACCAGSATTGATTACTCCTTCTGAGGAGGATTGACTGTCAGCTTGCCCTGACCACTTGTTCCTCTCAGGCTTCCATTCAGAGCCTGTCGAACGAGTCCCTGTAATGTGAAAACAGTGGGGGGGTCCGCTCAGTGTTCTGTTGCTTGTCCTTGTCCTTCATTGTGTGTCTGGTTTGCCTTGTTGTTGATCCCTCTTAAGGGCCTTCTAGACTTGATGATTGGTGCCATTACTTCCACCTCAACCTGTTGTCAACTATCGTCGCCACCTTGCCCCTTAGCAGCCAGTTCCTCATGAAGGTCTTTTTCTTGGTCGCTTGTCCTTCTGGTCTGTGACTTATAGAGTTGACTATTCTCCACCATCTGCTTCTGATTTCCGTCCCTGCCATGCTCAGTAGTAGTGACCACATTTCTTCCCTAGCCACCTCTGCACCCTCGATTGTCCGAGTGCATCTGCGTTTCCATATTATCCACAGTGCCAGCTTCCTGAGCAAGGTAAACCATACTTCCTTGCTGCCTGTGATGTTGCTGGGGATGTTAGTTAGGATCAGGATAGAGAGAGGGGGAATGTCAAGGGGCGGGGAAGCGAACAAGATCGACCATAGCTCGCGGACCTTCTTCCATACCCATGTCGCTTCTGGGCAGAACAAGAGGCAGTGTGAGATGTTTTCGGGAGAGTTGTTGCTGCACATTGAGCAGCATTCCGAACTATCAGGGTCGGAATGTTTCCTTCTAGTGTTTAGCCACTGGTTGACGGCAAGGGCTGCATGTGCTATTAGCCATTGCAAGCTGCAGATTCTGATGGGTCTGATTAGAAGGGATTTTGTCGCCTAGGTTCAGTATGCTTCTCCATTTCTCTGTCAGCCTTGGATTTGGGTCCCTGGTTTGTAGTCCGAGGTTATATCCGAACTTTACGTCATATTCTGTTATCGTCCTCGATTTTTGGATGGCGCCCATATTCCATATCCATTTCTTTGGGTCGAATTCCAGCTCCTTGATGTTGAGTTCTGGCTGAAAGATGATCCGGGGTTTCTCGTGAGAGACTCTAACCTTCCTGAGAAGGTAGGTTTCCATTTGTTCGTTCTGTGGTGTTCTGTTCATGACCTCTAGTTTGTAAATGTTGTGTTTGATGATGGGGTAGGATATGAACTTGGCCTGGTAGTTGGTCGGGTCCGGTTTGGACACAAAGCGGTAAGCTCTTGTTGGTGGGGTCTGTGTGGTGAGCAGTCCCCAATCTCCTGGTTTCCACGTGTGCGATTCTTTAAGGAGGGTTGTCCATGGGGGGGGAATGCTTTGAAGGATTTCTGATAGGTTGGTGGTCAGTAGGTGGCATCCTTTTAAGGATGTGCGGAGGTCCTGTACGATTAACCATTCTTGTCGGTCCTCATACCAAAGATGTTTGACCTGCCATACTCCTCTCTCCACCCAAGACAACCATCTGTGGACTTTGGCCCAGAGAATCCATGGTCTGCCCTCTATGTCTTTAATCCAGGGATTGCATAACATGGGCTGTCTTAGGACTTCCTCTTTGTTGCTCGGGGACCCGTTCTTTTCTAGCATCAGTCGGTGCCAGTCCTTCCGGATCGGTGATGAGTAGGGGATGGGCGTAGGGAGGGGTTGATCGGGGGTCCGGGGTTGGTATTCCTAGCAGGTTTTTTGGATTTGATGGCCCATTCCTTTGCCATGCTCCAGAACAGGCCACTCATGTTCAGAGGGGATGCTACCGGTGCCAAGTTTCTTATGTTGTCTATCGCCATCTTGGTCCATGGGAGGGCTTGTTTGGTTAGGATTTTGATTATCCATTTCATTTGGAGGGCGATCATTCCCTGTTTAGGGTCCAATATACCTAGCCCGCCTTCATGTCGTTTCCTGATGACAGTTTGCCAGACCACCTTGTTTATGCAAGTGGTTCTGCTGGGATCGCCAGTCCACAAGTAGCACCTGGCTCTAGCCTTCAGCTTCTTC